ATTTAAAAAAAAAAAAAAAAAAAAAAAAAAAAGGAAAAGAGATTTTGCAAATTCCTTGGAATCGTTTCCACTGAAGAAAAAAAATGTAAAAAATCGTATTGCTAGTTTGTAAAAAAATAAATAAATAAAAAAACTCATATTTGTTTTTTAAATTTTAATGATTTTTTAAATTAAAAATCATTTAATTTTAAAAAAAATTAAATCTGTTAATTTAATATTTGTTAATGTTTTTTTTTTAATTAACAGATCGGATTATTATGAGAATAAACATAAAAAGCCAACACAGCTTTCTATATTTTCTCACATTCAGATAAATCATAAATCATTACCACTTATTTAGAGATAAAAATCGATTTTACAAGGTTGTTCTAAGCTGCTTGAACATAGAAATAATAAAATAAGAAGATGACAGTTAATTTTGCTTTCAATGTTGATTAAATGATGAGAACAAGAAGAAGCATCAATATTGAAATAAAATAAAATCTATCAAAATCAGACAATTGGTGATTTTATTTTTATTTATTTAATAAAATATAAATCATTTGGTGTAAAAAATCATGAAAAAAGTTTTTTCAGATTGTTTTTATACCGATTGGGAACTAATAATTGGTTCATACTTTTTAATTTTTACCAATTTCTTTGTTTATTTTTTTATTTTTATTTTATTTAAAATAAAATAAAATTTTAATAATTGATAAATAAATGCCCAGACATTGTATATTACTTTGTTTACATCAGTCTGGAGACGGAATGGTACATTTTCACTGCTACTACTACAATGACAACATTTATTGGGGGAGACTCAGAAAAGGAAACCTTTTTTTAACCCCTTTTTTGTTTCACAAGATCGAAGACACGTGGGCACAATTGCGACTCAAAAAGAAATACGGATATAAATTTATTTTTAAATTCTATCTAATTTATTTAAGAAAAAAAAAAAAAAAAAAAGATTTGATAAAGGACGATGGGATTTTTCCCCCCTTCAGACAAGGCTTTTTTTTCTTCTTCACTCTAGCCTTCATTCAGGCAATAAATGTTTAAGTCATGTTCAATTCTTTGCATAAGGAAAAGAAATACTAAAATAAACGTTTGGTGATTTCATGAATTTACTTTCCCTGATAATCAATCACTAAACTTATAAAATAAATTAATCAACTCAACTTTTTTCTTTTTGTTATAATTATTATTATTAATTTTAAATTAATTTAAGCTCTTCCCTGGACAATTATTTTTAGCAGTATTTTTTTTTCCTAGGTAAGTACTTATTGATTGACTCAAGCTATCTTTGGGTAGTTGACAATATTTAGGACAAGTAAAGTAAAACTAAACAACTAATTTGGAATTTTTTTTATCTGTCAAAAAAAAAAAAAAAAAAAAAACAGATTGAAAAGCAAAGAAAAGTGAAGTCTATTTTAAATTAAATTTAAATTAATTACAAAATCGATTAAAAAAATAGGTTCGCATTATTAAAAAAATAAAATAAAACCTTAAAATAATTACATTTAATAAAAATATTTAAAATCAAAATAGAACAAAAAACAAACATAGAACAAAAAAATCTAACCAATGGACAAAGTCGATAAAACTTTACTGTTGCTTCAATTACAATAAACTAGCAAACTTTCTGTTAAATTGTTTCATCCTAAAATTCAACTACACACATTTATTGTCTTGATGTCGTTTTTTTAACTTCATTATTAAATTCTAAAACACGAAATCTAAGGTAAAGTGCACAACCTATTTTACTGGCAAAAAAATACACGACTAATAAAAATGTCCCCAAGTCTAATAAAGGTCAATCATACAAATTAAATAAATTTATTAATTAAACTAAGGATTGTAAACACTTTTAAATATTCTGAAAGATGAATGTACCGCTATAAATATGACAATTTACTTGGATTTTAGTAGGATTTGGGTCCCCGAAGAAGACAATGGATCCCATGTTTCTATCAATCTGCCTTGAGAATGAGATTTTCTACTACAAATGCCCCCTAAAAATATAAGGCCGACAAAGACCGGACCTGGGATTTCAATTTAAAAGGAAAATTTATTTTAAGCGTAAATTTTGTGTCGATTGGAGAACTTAAAGAATATTGTAAAGTAAATAAATATCAAACAATATAAGGGATTTTTTAAACGATAGGAATAGTTTTCAAGGAGTTTATAGATTAGATCAATAAAAGTTTAAAAAAAAAAAAAAAAACAGATCAATTTATTTATGGCTAGTCAGAGAGTTCATTTTACTTTCCTCATTTAAATCAAATATAAAAACAAAAAGTGCTTATTCGATTTTTACAACAGTGTCACACACACACACACAGAAAAAAGAAAAATAAGAAAAATAGAAAATGTGCCTAACGAGGAAATGCTGTAATTGTAAAACATTTTTCCTAAATAGACTTTATTATTAAGTTAAAAAATTTTTTAACCTTTGGATACGCACGAAAAATTTAAAAAGAAATTATTAAATCAAACAAATTATTAAATCAAACAAATTATTAAATTCAATTTTTTAATTTTTTCGATAAAGAAAAAAAAATGAATTTAAATAAACTTAGTATCTCTATTATTTGAAAGGGAAATATAATAATCGCTAATTAAAGTATAAAAACCTGCAATCCATACAGCCATCCGTACTTACAAGTTAAAACTGCCTAAGTGTTTTGGTCTGAAATCCGACTCAACAGATTTCGGAAACGTTTTTATTTTTTGCAAGAATACATAAAGGAAGCGAAATAACAGACGAAGAGGAAAAAAAACTGTTATTTCCTCAATTTTGGGTCACATAATCAAAGACAAACATATAGATTTAAAAAATATATATATATAATTAGCTACTTTTTTACTTACCCAGACTCCGTGTAGTATTCAATAAAACAAAAATACAAACGGGTAACACGCCGCGATTCTTTGCAATTAGTAGAAGCAAGGTGCTTCTTCCGTCCGTATAAAAAAGATAAAAACGTCAGTTATTTGTTTTTTCTTCAATTAATACAAATTAATAGCTCCTAAATACGATTATAAATCAGGATGAATAAAGCAAGGTGTTCTAGACAGAGAAACCTGAAAGGGAGAAAAAATATGACGGATGTGAAAGAAAGAACAGTGTTAAAGCCAAAAGGAATTGAATCGTCCGTCCTATTTGTTCAATCACCCTCCACAAGACTGACGGTGGTTGCTGCTGCTGCTGCTGCGAGACGCGAAACACGCACTTGACTTCCACCCTCCTACGAAAGAAAGCTTTCAGCGTGAGGAGGGACCGCTTCTTAAATGCAAAAATTTACCAGTACACTGTTCCAACAATTATCTCTATCAATCTAAATAAAAACTAATTACAAGTAAAAAAAAATTTTTTTTACATTTTCCTAATTTGGAAAAATGAAACCACTGACTTTGTTGTCAGCAAAGTCTAATGATTAGCCTTCGTCTGGCACAAGGCCACAGAAAAAGAGCACCCAAAATGGTTGTCACATGTTTAATAATGCAGATTAGTTTGGCATAAGCACCCATCAAAAATCAAAATTTATGCTCAAATCCTCCTCCCGGCCTTTTGAAAAAGAGTAGAGGTATCCCATGTATCCCTTGTTTCCTGTTTAGGATTGGGTTTTCAGTTCCTTCTAAGTTCTACTTCCACTCTATATTTCTAACATCTCAGATTGAACTCTGAAATGTTATTCACTATTTAAATCTTGACTGCTTCAAGTCTAGAATCAGCCGTTATCTTTCTTGCATAACCCCCAAGAACTTCACTTCTTACCCTTTCTTATGCTCATACAACACTACACAGTAACCCTCTACCTTGACTGGCCCTTGAGCCTTGTATTAGGTTAACATTAGTAAAATATAGTCTGCAAGACTAACATTTAAGACATTATTTTGTCATCAATTTATAGTGTCAAAAAATTAAAAAAATGAAGGAGGTATTTTTAGCCAATAAGAAGGTCAGAGTTACACCCCAATAGAAGATACCAACCATTATTAGCGCTTTCATTTAACTTACCAAGTAAGTGTCCTTGTCAAAGAAATGCAATGAAGGATCTAATTTAGCATTTCAGTGACCTCTCAAATCATGGAACTAATCAATTATTATTACTTTTCTCATATCATTTGGTGAGAAAATAGTAATTGCTAAGTATACCTCCTTACCCTTCAAATAGCACAAAGGACCCAGCATTGTACTCAAATGATCTCCTAAATGTGTGTGCATGTGATGCACCACATGGCTGCATTTGGAGTCTAGCAGCCAGACACCCAAGGAAAGAAATTCTCCCAGGGACATTCTCGAGTAAAAAGAGCTAAAGCTTATGTCTTTCCTTTTATAGTCCTGAGCAGTGTTACCTAGCAGTTTTGTTGGCAGAAAAAGTGAGAATAGTCCCCACAATGGGATCAGCTTTGTGAATGAGGAAATTTAAAAATTTATAGTCAAAAATTTATAGTCAAAATTTATAGTCAAAAAAAATTTATAGTCAAAAAAAAAAAATGAACAGAATATTGAAAATATGGATAATTTATTTATTTTAACAGATTGAAATGCAAATAATTTTCTTAATAAAATTCTTAATGGCTAATAATGAAAGTGAAGTTAAGTGACAGGATATTCTTTTAAAATTCTATTACCTTTCTCTAAAATCTTTACTTCAGTAAGGATTTTAGAGAAAGGTAATTAATTAAGCTGAATTAAGCTGAAGTTTTTACTGCATTTATCAGCATTGTAATATAGTGATTGATTGATTTGTTTTTTTACTGATTATCAAGCTTTTACAGATTATTTAAAGCCAGAAAATATTTTTAAATTGTAAAAAATTTTGGAAATAACAATGATTTATTGATATAAGTACTACTAATTAACCTATAGTTGGAGGGAGAAGTGGTGGATTTATATCTTTCCTAAGCATATTTCTGTCTGAGTGAATATAACAAACCCAAATGGAATTGGAACTCAGCTCTCCGTTTTCCAATCCTGAGCCATTATCCATTACATCACCCACACATCCAAGATTACAGCACTTGGTATTCCCAAATGGTTACTTATCTAGGTACTGATCAGGCCCGACATTGCTTAACTTCAGTGATCATATGAGAACTGGTGTTTCATGTAATATAGTAAATGAATTAAAAATTTCTGTTTTTCAATAATATGACCAGTGAGGGCTGACCTGGTCGGAGGGTTGAATGAGGGGCCCAAGCCTGAGTGGAGACCCCCACGTAGTGCTTTGTGAGCTTCACTATCTTATCAACAATTGTTTTTTTCTACCTACATTTATGTACATTACAAATTAAACTAAGCACAAATGAAATGATCTAGTATGACATCTCTCTAATTGTATTTAGATACATTGTATTTATTTTCAATCTTTCAAGTTGAATTGTTCACCTATATTGCATATGCTCCATTGTACAACAAAATTTGTATTTTATATGAATACTACTACCTTTGAAAATTGAGATATAGCAGAGTGGGAGACTTCGTATCATAGATGGGGTGATCAAGAGACCCACAGCAGCCCTGCAACCAGTAATAATATAGCTATAGTTTAATTTAGTTTGGAAATTTTTTTCTTTTTAAATGAAGATTTATCATTATTAGATACCTTTACATTCTAGTAAGTCACAATGTTTCAGCTGCTGTACTCTTTGTCCTTCTTCAGGTGTCTGTCATATTCCACTAACCAGCTCAGAATTTTGAAATGAATCCTTTATTCAATTCACAGGGATGAAATGTTCTCTTTCTATTTTCCATGCTTAAGGATATCTTGTATCAGTTAATATTTTCCAGTTGATTCAGATTTGTATTGCTTGTCTGTCTCTTTCACTGAACTGTAATATGTGACTTTTCCATACTACGAAAAAACCCATTTGAACTTACATCTGCAAAGAAAACAAACATGTTTTAACCAACCAGCATCTTAATTTACACAGTCTAGTGGATAAGAGTGTTGGTTAAAGTAGGCTGTGGCAGATCTACTGTGAAACTGATGAAGCTTAAGGTACATGGCCCCTAATACCAGAAAGGTCCCTGAATCAACTTTTTTTAATGAGTGAATTTTTCAACAAAATCAATGGTTTTATTGTTTCAAGGTTAAGAAACTTGTCTCCGTTGGTAGTTGCATAATTAAAAGAAAAAACTTGTAGTTCCAACGAATGATTTATTTTTATAGAAATATTTTGACTAGCAGTTGCCAGTCTTGGGCACTCCTTAATTTGAATAAAAACAGTGCAAAGAAGCTCAAAACGCTTAAGAATTCAAATCAAGGAAAACAAACCGAGTTGATAACATTTACAAATGTAATAGCAAGTTGAGGCGTTAAAAAAAAAAAATGAAAAAAAAGTTTTGTTTTTTATTCTATAAATTGCCTTTTTTTTCTTTTTTTTTTTAATGTCATATCATATTTTTCTTTGGAGCAGAGATGTCCAGACAGGATGGAGTTGTGCTGCATCTATCCTATTACAGGTATTTTTTGGAGTTGCTATTACCATTTGTTCAGTTACTCTTCTTTGATTGAAATGCTTTTGGTTTGTCAATTTTATTTCCGGATGGCCGAAGTCAATTCTGTAACCTTCTGTAATTATTATTAAATTGTTTATTACTAAAATAATACCATTTTAACGATAGAAGTATAAGCCAATGTGTTGAAGTAGCTAATGTTGACCTTAGAATATGTTCTAATACCCATTTCATATGGTCTCAAAATTTCCCTGTAATTAGTCAAATTTCAAAATCTTCTTGGGGGCTTGCAGTACCCTGGCCCACAGCAATATAGGCACATTCAGCTCACCAGAATCTATTCATAATCCACATTTTAGCAGTTGGATCCTCAAATTTATTGATGCTGGTTGTGAAGGGGTCCCCATATCTGTTCAAGCTTCAGGGGCCTAAAGATATAGGTTCACCACCGAAAACATGTCATGTTTCTTGGACATTGTGAGTTCAATCCCTGGGTCAGGTAATGTGGAAAAGTCATATAAAAGTCATATGTTCAGTGAAATTAACAGATACGAGATAGCACCTAAATACTGAAAGTGAAATAAGAAAAATCTATCGTCACGGATTGAAGAAAGGGTCCAGTTCAAAATTCCAAGAAGGTTATTTAGTATGACAAACACATGAAGAAAACTAGAAAGTATAATGGCTAAAACATTGTTAGGTTATTTAATGATGAGTTTTGTATGTGGCACCCATTGAGGATCAAACTCACTCCTCAGTAGTAATAGCTACGTCAGTTGATTTTATGATATGTCTACCCTTGTTGGGTTATTGTTGTATCCTTAAAGAGGTTACAAACTGACAAAGGTGGTACTTGAGTGAAAGGAACAGCAACACATGTGTAGATGAAAGAAGAGGTTTATTGTAAAAGAGAATACACTACTGAAAGACAGGGAATCAGGTAACAGGCTAGTAATTCTCAAAGCAAGCCCCCAGGTATATCCTGTGCTCCCTATATATAGCTACTGATATAGTCCGTCCACATAGTCAACAGGATGTGTGGGACATTCCATTATAACAGTTATTTAATGTCAAATGTTGTATGAAGCACCCAGTGAGAATCAAACTCACTCTCCAGTAGTAATGGTTAAGTCAGTTGATTTTATGACATGTCTACCCTTGTTGGGTTATTTAATAATGGATTTTGTATAGAGTACCCAGTGAGGATTGAACTCACTACTCAGTAGTAACAGTTAGGTCAGTTGATTTTATGACATGTTTTTTAAATCAATTCACCCCAAGCAAGGCAATAATGCCACTAAGATGCAAGGTTGCTATTTTGAATGAAAGAGAATGAGAAGACTTTAGAAGGAATTAGAAACCCAATCTTAAACAGGTAACAAGGGATAAATCTGTACTCCTCTTCAAAAGACCAGTGAGGCATGTGAACTGGATGATATGTGAACCTATCTACACCTACAGTATTTACATTAGTCGGACTATTGTCCTCATCTTTGTCGCCATATTTGTCACAACGTTTCGGCTGTTGTATGCTCCGGCCTTCTTCAGGTGGTTGGAATTTCGAACTGATCCCTTTATTTCGATCACTGGGGTAGACTGTTCTGGTTCCACGTGCCATGTTTGATGGATGTCAGTTATCAGTTATCTCCTGCTAATTTTCCTTCTGAAAGTTCTCCACTGCAATGAAATTAGCAGGAGATAACTGATAACTGACATTCATCAAACATGGCACGTGGAACCAGAACAGTTTACTCAGACTGGTTACTTGATATGTGTTCTTTTATTTATATATAGTATGTTGATCTAGTATTCAGTAGCAGACTGACAAGGTGTCAACTCACCCAGTGACAAGTGGGCCCCTGATAGAGTGGGCCCCTATAACAAATAAAAATGCAATAAAAAAAACCAACAGTAACAACTGTTTTAGTAATAAAAAGGAATAAAACTTTATAAAGTCATCTGTGCACTATCAGTTACTCAAGTCCAATGTGAAAGGACATTATCAAAGCTAAAGATCATAAAGACAAGGTTAAAGCATTCGCTATCTGAGGAGAATTTTGAATCATACAAGTTGCTATCCATTGAAAAGGAATTGTTAGATGAATTGGATACAGAAGCAATTACTGGCGAATTCGCACAATCATCTAGTGACCACAAACAATTGCTCTTAATATAGTTGACTACATGCAATGCTTTGTTGTGTTTTTGAACTATCTGTTAATGTTTAAATTATGATGCAGTAAACTATTTGAAAATATCAACCAATCATTTAAATTAAGAAAAATAAATAAATAATTAAATAATAATATTCTGTATTTACATTCTGCATCTACTGCCAGTAATATGTACAGTACACTGCAATTCCTAAGAAATACACATTTTTTTACATAAAAATTTTAATATCTGTCTATATTTTTGAGATGAGGTATTTTAATTATTTACATTATTTACATTGTTCAGACTGTTGTCCTCATCTTTATTGCCATATTCATGACGTTTTGTTGTACACAACAGCCTTTTCCAGATGATTTGAATTTCGAACTGAACTCTTTATTTCATCCACCGAGGTAGGTTGTTCTAGTTCCACATGCGATGCCTCTTATGGATGACTCAGTTATCTCCCTTTAACATAACTCTCCACTGTTTGTTCACCACTGCTGTAAGCAGGTACTGAACTCACAACTCTTTGGGTCATGTCACTGGATCCAGCCAACGTTTTTATCCACTGGGCCGTGTTTCCTACCCTGATGAATGAAATAACAGGTTCAGTTCAAAATTCCAATCACCTGAAGAAGGCCGGAGAGTACAACACCAAAACACCATGAATATTGCAATAAATATGAGGACAACAGTCTGAATAGTGTAAATAGTCAAAATACCTCATCTCAGAAATACAGATCTTTGTCAATGCTTGTCCTTTTACTATCCTTGTCACAGTTCAACCATCCATTTACACAAGCTTGTTACATAGGTTACTCACTTTCCTCTGTTCCTCTTGCCTTCAAGTTCCTGTGAGTGTTATATTTCCCAAGTTTTCTTTCCTCATTGTGTCCTGTAAATTTCAACAGTCTCTTGAAAATTTTATTTATTCATTATGAAAATTAAATGATAGCATTGTCATTGTGAGAGAGCCCCTTTTGTCCCCTGGCAACCAATATTTTTAGGCCAAGTCTGCCACTGCTAGTATTAAACATGAGAACACGCCATAATATTTAACTGAAATATGACCAGTTCAATTCTAAAATGTGTTATATGAAGAGTATAAAATTTCTAATAACTATAAATTCTTAAAAGCTGAAACTTTAGAAATTAATAATTTGATATATGTTTTATATGTTGTGTATGTTTTATCTTTCTCTATAAATTAAATTTTATCTTAATCTGATATCCACTCAGTAGGAATATCATATTAATAATTTTCAATAAAAAGAGGTTTCTATTTTGTCTAAAACTGACTAATTAGAAAATAGGTTCTAATAATGTGTTCTCTATCATCTGAATCTGCCTAATTTGTTTTATCAAATTTTAATTTATACAGATTTTTAAAGTTTTTCTTCATAAATACTACAAGCTTTAATTCTACTTAAAACTTCATTGTTCAATTCATAGTATTGTCAACAGAAATATATCTCAGTTGTTTCAACTCCTT